CTAAACCCAGAGCTCATTTTTAAACACGACTTGAAGTGCTCCCATTTCCCACGACTCCAGCATCTGGCGCTTTTTTTGAGAAAGTCCGACGAGGGTCAGGGGCGGGGCTGGGAGCTGGGAGCTGGGAACGGGGCCGGGCAGGGCGGCAGCGGGGCCGGGCCGGGCCGGGCCGGGCGGCGGGGCGGGATTGGCCCGGCGCGGTCAGGCGCCGTGGGCTGTTGCACACACGCGGCTCCGGGCCCCGCTGACCGGCAGTAACCCCGGGAAGCCCAGCCCACTGCGGGTGTTCCCCCCGATCCCGATCCCGGCCCTGCACCGTCAGCTGGCCCGGGCTGTGCCCGGCCCCCCCGCCTACGAGGGCGCCTGCCTGCGCCGGGGCCTGCGCCGCCCCCTCAGCGCTGCCGCGGCCCCCCGGGACAGGAGCTCCCTCAGGGGTTGCGCTGGGGCGATTGGCCCTTGAGCACATGCCGCTCCATCCATCCCTATGCTCTGCACGGCTGCTGTGGTGCCATCTCCTCCACGCGCTCTCCTGGGACTTTGTTCCCTCTTTCCGAAAGTCCCCACGGGCTTGTGGGGCCCGCACGGAGGGTCGGCAGCAGCTGGTGCTTTCTCGCTGTGGTTGGAGCGCATGGCTCGGAGCAGAGCTGGTACCCAGTCCTGCTCCTGGGGGCATTGCTGCCTCCCTTGGGCACCCTCCCTGGTCCTGCTCCCAGGGCCCTGGGCTGGACACACTGGGTTCCCCACAGCTGTGTTCACTGCATCCCACCCCTGGGGAGTGAGTGGATTGCAGCTGGAATCTGTTTTCTCCTAAGGATCACGTTGGCATCTTCAGCATGGTGTGTTCAGAGCAAAAAGATGCAGCAAACTCTCCCCTGACAGCCTGCAGCCCTCCCGGCTCTCCCCTCCCTTGGGTCTGAACAAGCAGGCACTTGTTTGCCTGCTCTCTCCTACTCAGCAGAGCTGGCTTGTACATTAACCCTTCCTTTCCCTCTCCTCTGGTGGGTGGGAGATTTTCAGAGGAGCAAAGTTGGGGTGCACTGGAATTGCAACCCAAATGTGCAGATTACATAGGAAACCAGGAATGATCATGCATGAAGTACTTCTAGGCAATGACCTAAAATGCTGAGCTGGCACTGCATTGATACTGTACGAAAACATATTTTGGGCAGGGGATTTAATAACAGTCTTTAACGAAGAGGGAGAGGTTGCGATTGGAGTTGCACTCATGAAATCCAGACAGAGGGATCATTAACTTTATTTTTAGGCTTGGCTGAATAATCAGGAGTTTTGAAGACTTGCCTTCTCTGTTTCACTTGTTTTAGGAGGGGCTGTGCTGTCACAGCTGGGATCAAAAGTGCACCAGATTACCAGAAGAAGCACCTCTCTGTCATTTGTGGGGCCATGGTGCTGTGACCAGCTGATGAGCAGGAGCATTTGCTTTGCTTTTTTCTATAGCTCAAAGCAGCCATGTGTCAAATTGGTTGGGCTGGTCACGTACCTCCATGTGGAAGAACACAGCTGCTGGAAGAGCCTCAACCTTCTGTTTTAAGTAATTCTCTTTTCACCCCCCAGTCCAGTTTGCAGTGCTGGCTCTGGCCTTCCCACCAAAGAGCTTTGCAGCAGCAGTAGCTGCAGCTGGAAACCAAAGCATGGGCCTGTTTTTCCCAGGGATTCAGCATGCCCAGCTGCACGGGTCTGGCAGTGCCAGCAAACATGGGCTAGACCAGGGGTCCCAGTGTGCCATCTTTGCAGGTGGCAAAGATGCCACAAACAAGGCCATCCCCTCTGCCTGTCTGTGCACGGAGCGAGCTGGTGCCACACAGAGATGGCCTTACTCACCACTGTGATCAAAATGCGTTTGGGTGGGGGTGCAGGGAAGCTACTGTCAATAAAGTGCTACTTGGTCGGGGGATTTCCCCCTTTTCCTTTCACTTCCCTCCAGCTGCAGCAGGGGTGGGGATAAGCAGGGACACTCACTGCTGCATGAGGAAAATTCCCCTGCTGAGGCTGATGAACCCGCCCGACGGGCGGCTGCCGGTATTACGTGTTGTGCCGCATGTGTATCCGCCAGCCACAGGGCCCTGGCAAGGGGCCCCGGCTGGAATTAACCTGCAGTAACCCCAGGCGCAGGGGCAGCCTCGGCGGGGTGTGCCTGCCTGGCCTGCGCTGGAGTATGAAAGCCATTATAATCCACTCATTCATGATGCTTAAAGAGCCAGAGGCGTTTTTCCCCTGGTTCTCCTGGAAGAGAGAAGGGTTTGGAAGCAGTAAGGCACAGCATTCCGGTCCTGATGGAGTATCTCGTGCTTTACCAAGCCCTGCCCACCATGTCATCAGTCAAACAAGTTTTAAAGTAACATTTATCATTTTTATTATGAACAAATAAAATTTCAGATCAGCACAACCAGATGTCTGTTTCCATATTAGTAGAAATTATTTCAAAAAGTTTTTTTTTTCCCGTACACAAAACAGAGATACTACTATGCAGAAATCCCTAAGCTGTGAAAAATCGTATCCTACTCACATTTCAACAGTGACAGAGCTTAGACAATGTGCAGATTCAACTTTCCAATCCTTCCCTGAACACTCAACACTTAGACTTCTGCTCTTCACAATACCAGCAGGGCTGGGAACGGTTTTGGAAAACAAACCAGTCCATGCTTCTGCCAGCAGTGGTGTGTGTGGTTCGTACTGTTCCTTCCTGTGCTCGGCTGGTCGGCAGCGAGCCTCACCCACACCTCTGGGAGGCAGGGTGTAACACCCCGTTACAGATAGGGAAACTGAGGCACAGAGTGTTTTTAAGTGACTTCGTCCCAAATCACGCAGTGAGCAAGTTGGTAAGCTGGGAGCGGGTCCCAGCTGCTTTAGCCATGAGGTCCCACTGCTGCTTTTTCTGCTTCCACCTTTCACAGACTCATTTAAGCTAAACATACAGACTATGCGTCCAGGACACAAACATGCCACCAAAAATATATATATATTTATAGGTGTATATATATATATATCTCAAACAAAGTTCTACTTAAAGTGTTGTATCTGTTTCTTAATCTAACAAAAATTCTAACTCAAATACATTCAAAATCACCTGCACCCACAGTTCAATGTAGGCAATTAAATAATTAAGAAACCCCTTGAATGTTCATAACTCAGAAAAAAAAAACCAAAACGGCAAATAGCTGTCAATACTTCTATGTATATTAAAGAAAGATTTAAGGCACCCAGAGATATTTGCCAATCTACCTTTAAAGTGACTGGACAAACACCAGGACTGTTTGGTTACTGCTCCTCAACTTCCACTCTCATTCCAGATTCTGGACCTGAATCAGCACTTGAAATTTGAAAGGAACCCTTGATGTCAAGCCCTGCTTCTCTGCTGAGAGGATGTGAAATACTGCTGCATTTCACAGCACGCATCTCTACTGTAGAGTATGTCACACTACACCTTTAGGGCACCAGGAGCAAGGAAATCATTCTCCCCTTCTCCCCTCCCCTCCTCCCCTTTCAAATTACTGGCTGGAGCAAATTCATCCTCTGGGGACTTCCATGAGTTCAGAGGGGTTTACACTAGAGCAAAGTCAGCCCACAATTACAGAGCTAACAGTGTTTCTCTTTTTTTGGAGGGCTTTTTGGTTTTTTTCAAATGGTAGGATACAGCTCTAGCCACAACACCCTTTGCTCCAGCCAGCACCCAGGCAGTCAACAGCGTCAGAGCAGTAAGGACGCTGTCTCCTGAAACCAGGAGCTGAAGGACTCTTTCTCCATTTGTCCTTGTTCCTCTTGGCTGGAGACCACATCACTCCTAATGGTTCAAAAACTCAAAGGGTCCCATTGCTGAGCATAAACAAGGTCATGATGGTGGCAAGGAGGGGAAGGTGAGGAGACAGGCTCATTTTCTGAGTAACAAGCTTGTTCTTGTTAAGGAGAACATCACAGAGCTATCCTGGCTCCTGGCGAGTTTCACTGCAGCAGGTGGAAGCAAAGCTGCAGACACTCGCTCCCGTGAAGCTTCCCTGGCTGCGACGTGGCAGAGCTGAGGTGAGGAAATTGGCATCTGCACTGTCTCTGCCTTCCCTGGCCTGCCTGAATAAGGGAGATGCTGCAAACCCCACTCCAATGTCACTTTGTTCCAGCTACCTCTTGTGCTTTCCTCCAGCTCCGACTGATGCATTGAAGCAACAAAAACAGTACTATTGCTACAACTAATAACAATAATAGTAATAAAAATTAATAATAACTAGGAGAATTAAGGGGGAAAAAGCATGTTCAGCTCAGTGAGAGGCGTGATGCCATAACATCCAGAGTGTAACCAACTGCCTGAACTCAAGCTGGTCTCTGTAACTTGCAGGAAACAACACCCACATGGACTTTTTCCCCAGCGCCCTCCCGCTGCATGCCCACATCGCTCGGTGATGTAACTGCCCTTTCTGCAGGCTCAGCCGCCCTCGCTGCCTGTCTCACTGGCAAAGAGCGCGGTGCCGAGATGGCTCGCCGAGGGGGCTGGGAGGCGAGCTAAGGGACTAACAAAGAGCTCCTTCCCACTCCCTCTGGGCAGCAGGGAATGGCAAACCAACACAGCACACCTTGGGCAAGAAAGCACAGAGGTAGCTCACACTGGTGGCAGTTTCTCACCTTGAGGCCTCAACTTCCTTGAGCCCCCTGTGCCACCTGGCCCCACATTTATGTTTCTCAGGCACTTGTTGAGTGGAGCCCCCAAGGATGAAAATACCTGGTCCTGCAGACACTTTCACTCCTTCCTACACCTGCAGGTGCTCCCTTGTCCTGTCTCTGTGCTCAGCAAAGATGTGGATCTGCCTGCTACCCAGAAGGGACCCTGTTTTTCCAGCACATAAAGCAGCTTAGCTCAGAAGCTCACCCTTCCATCTGTCCTCCTCCTCACTGTGGCTCTCCAAAACAGCTGTGGAGCTCAGAGTCATGCTCTGCCTTCAGTCCCTCGTGGCACAGAGGGCAGTGCAGGGAGGGAGGCTGTGACACCAGAGGGAGTGCAAATTAAGGCCACCAGCACTCCCTCTCCAGTGCTAACTGCTGTTACAGCATCACGGCCAGTGGTGGGGATGTGAAAGAGTCTGGGCACTCTTCTCTCCCCAGCCAGAGTGGCTAGGTGGTGAGGAGCAGTGGAGAACACTTTCCAAGAGACATCTTGGAAAGAAACAACTCTTCTTTCTGATGACAAGAGCAAGGGATGGGTCTGCTTTTCCCAGGAAGAGCAGTTGAGCCATGTCATGTCTGTCAGCAGCCCTTGAGAAAAGAGAAGGGACAGTGGCAGAAACTTTGAGGGGAAGGTAGTGGGGAGAGGGTCACTGACTTTGGCTCAACTCTTCATCTGGCTGGTTCAGGCTTCCCTTAGCTAAATAGTACATAGCCGACTGCAATAGGCCTCCCCAGGCCACTTCCTACCAGCTTCTCTTCCAGGTATAGACTGGGAAAATGTAAAGCAGGAGACAGGTTAGAGAGACTGGAGAAGAAAACAGAAAGGGAAAGGAGAGGAGGGAAAGGGTGGCCTTGTGTTATAAGGGCAGAGTCCTAGGTCTTAAATACATCCTGCAAAATGCAGTGTGGGAGGGGGGTGTTAAAACTCATTATCATTATCTTAAGCAAACTGGTAGCATTATTCAGTAGTTAGTTAACAGAACATTAAACTTTTGTCCAGCGTGTTTGGAGGGGGTGGGAAGGGAGAAAAAAGGACGAAGGAGAGGTGTGGATGTGTGTGTGAAAGGGAGCAGGAACTCAGCCACTCTTGTGACTTCCATCTCCAGTCCGCAATTTCCGAGCCAGGATGACCTCCTTGGAGACCTTCTTGCGATCGCTGGCCAGCCCCAGGAGGCACATGAGGTCAATGAAGGCTGTGGTTAAGTTGAAGCGCCAGCCAAACTCACTGGTGGAGTAGTCATAGGGGAAGGTGTGGTGGTAGTTGTGGAAGCCTTCTCCTGAAAAACACGACCAGGGAGAGGATGTTGCAGAGCTCTAGGTGACAGACACTTTATCTTACCCAAAGCACCATATTCTTGTAACAGGCTGTGGATTGAGTCCAGGTTCCTCTCTCCTCTCAGCCCAGTTTCACCCTTCTGCAATCTACCCCATCTCATTTGGCATCACCCAGCATGCCAGGGCTGAGACAATGACAATCCCAGAGGAGTTTTGGTTCCTCTTGGCTTTAGAGGAAAGTAAGCATATGGCAGGGAACAGTGAAAGGCCCTGGTTCCCCAGCTGCACCAAAAAACCAGAGGATTCCTAATAGTTTTTCCCCTCCCATCACAAGAAATCTTCCAGTATTAATTCAGCTACCAGCTAGACCAGCAGCAAGCCCCCAACAAACCAGGCTAATGAATACTCTCACAACACTGGCAATCCTCATGTCAAATCCAAAGGACATTTCCAGATGAGGAAAAAAGCAGACACTAAACAGGCACTTCTACTAAGCAATCTACACCAGTCAGCCACTATCTGGTCTGGACACTGTCAACACTGGCTTCAGTGCTCACCCCTTCAAAGACACTGCCTTGACTCCTGCTCCTACCCCTGAATCTCTGCAGTTCAAATCCCTCTCTACTAAAATTCCACAAGCAGATCCTTTGGTGGTGGAAATCAGTGAAGCCCCACTGAGATACAGTGGTGCAAAACAGATGAGGATTTAGGGAAAACCAGTAAGAGCATATGCTGATCCTGGAATGTACTTCACTAGATCTCCAAAATTTCAGTAAAAAATATGAAAGCATCTATCTTGTCTTATCCTCAAGTACCCCCAAAGTCACCAGCTGTCCTGAGAACATGTCAAAATGTGAATCTGCTGGTTTTCAAGTTGACAAATCTCAGAGAGATACGCAGTGACGGCAGCACACGTTTTTTAGTCTAGTGAACGTGGCAGAGACCTCTGAACAGGGTAAATAAAATATTGCCATTGAGATAAGAAGGTGCTAAGTGTGGCAGAGTCCTTTCCAGCCTGGAAAGAGTCTGATGGGAGCTGATAACCCCACTGCCCTTATGTACTCACTGGCTAGCACAGGAAACATCCTCAGATGCAAAGGCCGAAAGGTGCAGGGGAAATAGGGACACCTGGACTGATAGAAATTCCTAGAAGCAGTTGCAGCCCCAAGAGGCAGTCCCTGTTCTAGAGTCCCCCTGCAGCAAAGACACAGATGTTGGACATACCTATGGCCCCCAGGCTGACCAAGGGGTTCTCCCGCGGGTTGATGTTCTGGTCATACGGCCGGTTGCCAAACATGTGAGCAGCACTGTTCACTAGCCAAGTGCAATTGAGCCCTACGGTGTAGCGCAGGATGGCTGGAATGAAGAAGCTGATGATGATGGACTCATCCCAGAAGTACCAGGGCACTACAGATGGCAGTGTGAAGCACAGCAACACCACTGAAGGCTTGTAGTATCTGGAAAGGAAGGGACCAGGAGGAAGGGGTTCAGTGGCAGAGGCAGGACAGGAAGGACTGATTCAGTCCTCCATTTGAAGGATTCATGCTCAGCTATACAGGGAAAATCAAGTGCAGAAATGCCTCACTCCTGAGCCTTGTATCTTTTGCTCTGGATGTGCAGAAGCCATGCCTGGAGATTCCCAAGTCCTATCATCAGGCAAAAGACTCAGACTAAATCCTGCTCTCCTCACATCTGCACAAAGCAATGCTCCCATCACCATGGGGGTGAGTGAGAGTCCAGACACTCAGACACCCAGAAAAGCTGCTGCTTTTGGCTTCATCTGTCATTTGCTTCTCAGCTGTATTGGTCCCCATAAAGGCAACCCTGTGCTTTCAGAGTCCCACACATGGTCCTTTCTCTGGCTTTGGCCCAGTGCTGCAGCTCCTCCTTGCAGACTTGGCTCTGCCTACAAATACACCCCATCAACAAGTGCAAGCAAGTGGCACAGATGAGCATGTGGGCTCTCTCACACTGGAAGAGTGGGAATAGAGGAAGGTGAACCGCTCTGATGACCCACAAGAAAAGTCAGTCTGGGACCGTACTAGGAACTTTCTGACTTAGGCTGGTTACCTATTTGGGTTGAGTCCCACATCCCTGCAGCCTCTGTGATAGGCTCACCTTCTCTGCATCCTAGTATAGCTCCAGATGGGTGAGAGATACCCTACCCAAGAGGCACCAGTGAATGAAGACTGTTCTTCCCAGTTGCTGCACCTCTCACATCTCCATTTTCAACCCTTCTTTCACCATACTGTTTCCAAAAGACTGAGGGAAGAGGGGCACACACATGGCCTGGAAGGTGTACAATCTCCAAGGATGTCTCAGAGGCACCTGTGTGTGGGCTCTGGGCCAGCCAAAGCACCAGCTGGGCTGTGGGGTGAGCAGCTGTGGAGTGGCTTTGTGGTGGGAATCTCAGCCTGCTGCTGGCAAGATGCTGCAGGGTAGGCAGGCAAGAGAAGGGCGTGGGAGGGCTAGAGGTAGCACTGGATTCTAAACATTTCTCATAAGAGAGGAACAGCTCATTTCTCACAGCTCATCTCACAGCAAAGCCTTGGGCATGCTGAAGAGTCACATTTCTCACATGATGCCCTCAATCCTCTCACATTCCATCAAAGCCATTTGAGTTCCCAGCCCATTTGTCCCTGCCCCATTCCCCATGGCTCCCCACTAAGGCTGACCCCACTACTCACCTGCGCTGGAACATCACCACTTTGTCAGCCTTGATGTCACTGAGGTCCAGCTTCTGTCCCTTCTCGATGACATCGGGGTGCTTGCGCACAAGCAGCCAGCCAATGTGGGAGAAGAAGAAGCCGCGCATGGCGTTGTGTGGGTCTGCGTCTGTTTCAGAGAACTTGTGATGGACGCGGTGGTCCCGGACCCACTCGTAGATGTCATTCTGCAAGTCAGCAGGAGTGAAAACTTAGGGTCAGAGCTGGAGATGTTCCCTCTGAATTACAAAGTGGCCCGAAATGCTTAAATACGTAAATCCTTGTATCAGTGGCATTATGTCTCAGTAGGGTTTGGGGTTTCTGACCTTTAAAACAGAGGTTGAGTTTTGGCTGCACCTCTCCAGTTTTTTGGGAAGTGGTGCCTCATTGCTGCTGCTCTTTGATTGGCCAACTCTGGGCTGGGGGGGGGGGGGGGCGTTTGCACCACACCCATGGTGCTGCAGGCTCTGATTGGTCAGCCTGTGCCCCACCCCTGCAGCAGCCACTCTCATTGACTGGCTGGTGCCTCCTCTCCTATGCTCGGCTCCTGTCCCATCCCCATCCCTGTCCCCATCCCCATCCCTGCACAGTGCCAGGCAAGGCTGACCTGCCCCTTCCCTCTACCTGACATTTCCCATAGGTCATCCTGCCTTGCTTGTCCTGGGATTGCCTAATCAGATGTTTAACTTCGGGGGGGCAAGGCTTTTTTCAACTTTTTTTTTTCCATTAGAAATCAAACAGTCTTAAAATTAAGGTCCCTTTTTAGAAGGAGCACAAACACACCCTTTCAATGACATTTCTCAAAAATACCTCTCTTCAGCCCCATTGCTGTTCAATTTAAGCAGCAAAATCAATACTGTTTGGAAAATGTAAACGCTTTTATCATTTGTATTATGAAATGATTGCTTTGGCTAGTTTTAAGAATAGATTTTCATAAGCCTGTGATCATTTCTTTGTATCAAGATTTCAATGAGCTTAAAGCCATGTATTACACCATCCTAGAAAACATGAAATAGAGATCTAACCATGGCTCTATTACCTGTATTACACAAGAGGCTCCTTAATCACCTGCATACCCAGGACTTTTCCTGAAAACACTTTGAAGATAGGGAAATGGCATAACCATCCCTATTTCTTGCCTCGAAAGACTAATGGACTTGTACACACAGGGAGCCTGTAACAGACACTCAACTCCTCAAGTCCTTTTCAGGTATTGTAACCACTCCTCCTTTACCTGAGATAAAATGATTTACCTGCAGGCCATTCAAGAAGGCAATGATAGACATGGACCAGGGTTAAAGTCTTGCTTGTTTCCTAATAGTGGGAACTGCCGCCTTCCTTCCAGCCAAATATCTCCAATTATCAGCAGCCCTTGCTGATCATGGCCAGAGCCTGGTCACTCAGTATTCCCCCAGAAGAGGGTGGCCCAGCTGCCCTCCCTATCTAAGTAAGCAGAGAAACTCAACCAGTACCTATGCTGGAAAAGTTCCACCTGTGACCCAAAGTCTCTTTCACATCCCAGACCCTACACAGCACCATGTAACATGAGAAAGCCCAGTCTGAAAATTGACAGACAATTTGGGCTTGCACATATCGGAAGGTCTTCCCTGTCTTGCTGGAGGCAGGAGGCACAAATTTGGAAAGAGACCATGTAACACAGCTGGATCATGGTATGACTTCATCTACCCCATCATCCTGTCTACAAACAAAATCAGGAGTCTCAAACCTGAAAAATCTGTATCTTGACCCAAACTTTAGCTCATTAACTTTTCTACAGCTCTTATTTTGGGCCCACCTCCAACTGCAACCCTGACTGAAAATCACGACTTTCTGAGAAGAGCAAGCAAAGCCAAGGAGAATGTCTTCTTCCCTGGCATATCCCAGCTACAGGCTATAACCATGAGACCTTCTGTTGTGCTGCAGCTGACAGGTCTTGCAGGCGAAAAAGCCAATTAGATGCAGAATTCATAAATTCTCTGAAATTACAAGTCACAGGTCTCTGAGCAGCCAACAGGTGTTTTCTGGAGGACCTAAGATAAGACAGTCCATAAACTTCCGTGATCTTAAAAGTTCCTGATCTCCTCTGCTGCCACTAATAGGAATGAGAGAAATTCAACATAAATCTTCTCTTGATCTCACTGAAAGTAACTACTAAAAAAATCCATGGGGAATAGTATCGAATTTTCACTAAAACTTTGGATTAGTTCCTATTGAAGTGGAAATATCTCTCTGTCTTTCATCTTTGTCTATTCCTATCCCCTACAGTAATAGCTCAGCAAATTCTTTCCCCCTCTGCCCTATAACCCTGTGAAAGATGGTCTTTGTACAGGACTAGCTAATACACAGCAACCCATCCTGCTGCCTTGCTGAGTGCTGGACCACTGGCTGGAATCAGCAGCTTGGTCCCTCCCCTTCCTCATCAAAGACAACTGTTTGGTACTATCAGAGAAGAAGAAATTCATTGATGTTTTAGAAAGTTTTTCAAAGCTTAAAAAACTTTACTCTGTTTTGATTACATGTAAAAAAAATCATATCCTCTGGAGAATTACTTAAGAGCACAGCACTGATACTTTTGTGTTCACCTTTTTATAGCAGAAAGTGCTGCATTCTGACACCTTCCTGAGTCCTTCCCACAGACAAGCAACCCTTCAGTACAGTTGGAGGATGGAGTGTTGTTAGAGCTGACTTTCAGCAGCAAGCCTGAGAGGATTTATTTTTCTGTGCCATGCTAATCTGGGTTTTCACTCTGACTTCTACAGATTTGCAGTTTTGTTTGTTTTGGGGACTGTGAAGTACTCTCACAGTAGTTAGGCAATATCCTGAGTTAAGAGCTCTTTGGGAGGTGAAGCAATCTCCCAAGGTGCTTAACAGTGCCTGCAGTCACTTGTGCCACTGGGCCCAACCCTTCTCTCCTTAAAATATCACTGACCTGGGACAACTCTCTGGAAGCCAGTGGAGTGATTTGTAACATGATTAGTCCTAAATATCACTCTTCTGAATGAGAGAAACATCCCCTAAATCTCAACAAGTTCTTGGTCTTTATGAAGTAGCAAATTCTACATCCTGTAGAATTCTACAATCCTTGGCTTAGCAGATGTCTTCTCCTTTATCAGCCACACAGCAAAAGGAGAGTGAGGCAACACCAGGAAAACACTTAACACTTCCACACCTCTGTCATGGGACCTGGTGCAAGCACAGGGAGACCACACCTTAAGAGAAAGGTACATTCCTGCTTCAGAGATTTCCTACCCCTGGCTTTGGCCTGTTGTCCTCTCAACACTGGGTTTGTCTCAGAGTCGGCCTCTGATGGGACAAGGTAAAGACAACGAGACAGACTCCAGCATTGCAGTGTTAGATGGAAAGGGCTGTCTTCTTCCTAACAACAGGTAGTAGATAGAATAGAGGAGCCTCTTCATCAGATCGTGTCCCCTATCTGGGACAGGGATTCATGGGAGCACTTCCTTCCGAGGAGCAGTGGGACACTGAGGAAATGCTTACCTGGAAGGCCATGGAGTTGGCAATAGTCAGGAAGATGCGCAGAGGCAGCGTGGCTTTGTAGGAGCGATGACTCCAGAGGCGGTGAGATCCAGCTGTGATCCCCAGAGCACTCACCACGAAACACAGAAGAGCTACAAAGGAAAAGAAGGTGTTTGAGCAGTTGGAGCAAAGCTTCAAGCAGGGCAACACAAAGATGGACCTTCCCCCAAATCTGTATAAGCAAGAGAGGAATCCATGGAGAGCAGATTGGGGCAATAAAACTCCATGTGAGATTGACCAAGCTACCACTGGCCTCCTAGGCAATGTGGACAAAGCAATTCAGCTCTTCATCTCTAACAAGGAAGGAGGCTCCCCCTTAGAAGACTCACGAGGGCTGGTTCTTCAGCATAGTGCCATCTGTCATAGTGCAGAGTAGTCAAAATTGTATAAACTGGCTGCTTTCATAAAGCACTGTGATAAAAGCACTGCAGTCCATCAGGGAACAGTTTCTCCCTTTTCTTCCACCCCAGATACTCCAGGCTCTTGCTTTCCCAAGACTCACCAAACCCCAATAAATCTCTTTTGCATTATTTCCACCCTGAGATGGTAGATAATCTTAGCATTCTTGAGTGGGACAACTCAAGCCCAGGGTTAGGCTTTTCTTCTGCTCCCTTTCTCAGCAGAAGCTGGCAAAAAAAATATCTAACCTATCCTCCCACTGAAGTCTGGGTTTCACCTTCAGCTCTAGCACTGGTTTAAAAGCTGCCCAGAGGCTACTGTTCCTGGGTCTTTTTGATCCCTCCCTCTGCTCAAGTCCTGCACTTTTCACAGAAGGAAACCCCAAGGCTAATGATTCATTGCAAGTTGTGCCCATGGCAGAGGCAGATGTTGCTGTGCCCTGTTGAGCTTTGAGGCTGCTTCGTGTGTTCCCTCTTCACACAGGGCAAAAGGAATTCCTTGCCCCTCTGGCATCTAGTAACAAACCACATCCCTCTCCCAATACATCATGAGTTCATATTTGCCCTGGTCTGTGTGCCTGTTTGCCCTCCTGGGAATTCTGGAAATTAACCTCAGCTCCAGTACCTGATCCTAAAACGGAAATGGAGAAAAGATCCCAAGAGTTTCATAGCAGCATTACACTAGGAAAGTAGGGTAAGAAGAAAATTGGTTCTGCAAATTAACTCTTCCTCTAGAAGGAAGGGTCAGGAAGTTTGGTAGAAAGAGAGCATTCAACAGCTGGTTTGCTCTGCAAGCTCAGACACAAAGAGGGAAGGGTGCACATCTGTGAACAGGTCAACTGATCCACCTCTAGTCCTCTGGGGGAGGACTAGTGGTCCTTCTTACCAGTCCCCCAGGGCAGACTTTTTCTGGTATAAATTTGCATATTTCAGCCAATTGTATCAATCATGAAAAGAGTTCCTTATTCCTTCACATAAGTGCATGGATGGGAATTGCTGGTGGTATGCTTGACATTCAGCCGTTCAGTCCAGCCAAATGGCTCTAATCAAGTTTGTCTTGAATCCAGAAAACCAGATACACTGACAGAAACTTGTCTGGAATCAGAAATCTGAGACCTCTGCCAAGCATGGTCCGATTCTTTAATTCAAAATAATACAGGCTTTATTTCTGCTCATCTCCTGCTTCATCTTCCTTCTCTCACCTCCTTTTTGTTGTTCTACATTCCCAGCGTAATCACTTATCCACTAAAAGCCTGTCTTGGATGTTTTCCGGCCCCTTAAACTTGCATGAACTCTTCTCACTTCCATCCCACTGCACAAGAGTGACCTTCCCTGTCTGCTGATCTGACTGTGATTCCCCATCTTCATCTTCTCCCTTGGTTCCCTGCCTGCTACTGAGTGCAGCACAACCCTTGGACCAGCACAACTCTGCCTTGTGTCTCCCAGCACCTTGGCAGTCTTTCAGAAGAGCCAAGCATGCAAATACAGCAGGATCCAGCCTTTCCAAGAGACAACAGAGCTGAACAAAGCTCACAAAGCTGTCGAATGCAGACAATTATACAGACAATTCTCAGAATTTGCCTGTGGATACCCCTCTTGGGAAAAGATGACACCAGCAACAATGACATTATCAGCAAGCACAGGGAATCATAAAAGAGATGTGATAGGGACACCAACAGACTCCAAACCCAGACAACCCAGTATCTGCTTTTGGGGGTCCTGTCCTGGAAGCTTTTGTAAAAAAATTGCAAAGTACCCACTGATTTTGGGTGCCCTGGCATAGAACAGACTCAGCCTCTATCCAAAGCCTGTGAACATCAGCAGCTCATGCTGACTTCTCTTGGACCTGCATCCCAGGTCACTACAATGGCCATAACTCTCTAATTATAATCCTGTGCTGCCTGGCCTCACGCCCATGTACAGAAGCTGTAGTTTATCTAAGGGGCAGACACTTTCTGTGGCAAAGCAACTGATTCTCAGTCTATGCATTGATGGCACCAGCCCCACAGAAAGCCAGATCCTACCTGGAGACAATTAGATCCGTCAGCTATATCTAAGAGTTTATGTGAAGTGTCAGGACATGCACAATGACTGAAATCCTTGTGGAATACAGAAGAATCCAGTACCTTTATGATTCAGAGAGTTCACCCCCACAAACAGATACAGTGATGATCAATCATTGCATAGTCAGGGAATCAGCATCTCACAGGGAAGAAGAAAAACTCCTCCAAGATCATCCACTAAGAATTCAATTGGAAAGAGAGTAGAGAAGGTGAAATAAAGTAGCACAGATTTTCACACCTGCCCTGTGATGCTGCCCCAAACTGAAGGACTTAGGGACTCCATCAGCTGAGGATTCAAAGTCATTTTCCATCCTGTGCTTTGAACTACATGAGATTCAAAATACTGGCAACTCACAGGTGATATTCCCAGTGACCCATTCAACTGGAATACAAAGAATTATGACCACTGACAGTAATAAGCACTCAATGCTCCAAAAATTAAACAGAAAACATTCTGCATTCAGTCATAGCTATGACTCATTAAGCTTTACCTCTTTAGGGCTCAGATTCAGACCCAAGCTATGATGAGAAACCAGGAATGTGCTGAAAGCATTGCCACCTGCAGTGAACCAGTGAACACCAAGGATGTTTACATGTAAAGAGGTGTTCCTGATGCAGCATGTGTCCTTGGGCTTTTGCTCTGGGCGCGATTGTTCCCTCCTTGCTGCCCAGTCTCTGTTAGCCAGGTGAGTCCTGCTACTCTCAGGAGAAAGATACCAGGGGCAATGTAATTTACAGGCTGCACAAAGGGAAGAGTGTTTAGGAGGAGCAATAGGATCTGCTGTCACTAAACCTAACTTCCCTGCCACACTCAGAGAAGCACAGCACCTGCTACTTTAGCCTGGAGGGAGCACTAAGTGGTAAGGTGTTGCCAGCTATAGTCTTGATGGGAAAGTAAAAAAACCACTGTAAACACTTTGCTGGTCATATCTCTGGGGGTAGTATTGGCTGAGATTTTCTGACTGTCAGTTGCCTAAATTACCCAGCAAGGTTCACCTTGGTCCAAAGACAATACAGCAACAAAATATGGTATCAACCCATGCTCCTAGAGCCTCTGGCACTGCAGGGATCTGAGGTGTTGACAGAGCACCATGTCGAGAGGAACCATTCTTGTTTACAGACACTGCGTCCAGGCCAACAGGAGCTAGGACAATTACTGACAATTACAAATACTGCTGCATCCAAGGGCTAAAAAGACTACCCACAAATCATGTTTCCAGCGAGGATCTGAGCAATTGGAGAAGAAACTGCCCATCACGTTTGCATTCTACCATTTAAGACGCAGTCTCTATGCCATTTAGCAAATGACATAAAATGTGCCCATGATCCTTGAAAAGACTAAGCAAGACTTTGAGAAGTGCAGTGGAAAAGACAATAAATAAAAGGGGACCTGACTAGAAAGCCAGTGCTGGACAGGCTCGGAGAGCTCTTGTGATGGTGAGCCCTCACCTGATCAACAACCCGAGCTCATTCTGGGAGGCTCTGTACCAGAAAGAGATCAGGGGAGACAATGCACACAGCAATGCAGAACAGCAAACAATGATGAAGGCAGGGCTGGGGAGCTTGAGAGACAAAGAGGGATCAGCACATAGAGAAACGAAAACAAAAGAGGACAGTCACCAATATGACTGGTTTCAAAGGGACAGGAACATCAAGGAGATGGTGGCCTGGATGAAGTAGGTATAAGCAATGGATAAATTACAGAAGGTAGATGAGCCACCAGGCCCCACAGCTGCCTGTTGCAACACAAGAGAACACCCGAGACCATGCTAATTTTATATTATATGTAAACAATCTAAGGAAGAAATTATCTGAAAAACAAACAAAGAAACAAGCAAAAACTGCAGCAGCTCCAGAACTACCATTGCTAGAGCTGGCCTGCCATGAGCCCATGGTGTACTGCCACGAGCAACACAAGTCACTGCTGCACTATCCTTGTGTGTAACATGGGAACTGTAGTCCTCTCCTTGCTACCAGAGGGTGATAGGAAAAAACACCAAGTCACTGACATGACATGACAGCCACAGATGCCTTGTATATGCCAAATAAAGGTATGAGCTGAGAAAAGGGCAATGCAAGGAGCAAGAAGCCTTGTGCTGAGAAGGTAGACATGTGGAAGATCAGAGTATTCCCGTTCCAGTTAGTGCTGGAGGACAATGGACTATAAGGGAACTCTGATTTGGCTGTAAGGTGCCACAAACAGTGGTACTTTCCTGGAACAGGGAGCTTCGTGGAGCTACTCCAACTTTGGTAAAGCCAGATAGATCTTCAGCCAGTCCAGAACAGTGCAGCTCCCCCAAACACCATGTCCTTCTCCCATTCCCAGAACATGTCACTCCAGAATCCACCATGGAATCTTGCAGTGCCTCATAGTGGCAGGAGAGCAACTGGCACTTCCCATCAGAGTTGACTGAGCGAGGAGAGCAGGAAAGATTGACATCAGATGAAAAGCAAAGCAGATTCCTGAGAAGTGCTATGAGATGCCATACAGACATCCTAAAGAGGTGCACAGTTGCAAAGACACTGCCTCAGAGACCATTTTGGAGTAGGGTGGGGTTTAGCAGAATGCAAAACAGCATTAACTTTCTGGATAAAGATGCTCAAGCCCTCATACGTATCCCAAGCGCACTCAAGGGATAAGGGTTGGATGGATTTGGAAATCATGGAGCATATCAGCAGCTTGAAATGAAGTCAGTAAATTCAACTCACTTTTTTTCCTTCTCCTTGCCCCAACATCCTGAGGTTATCTGACTGGAGTTGGAGGACCCGGGCTGTCAGCTCAGTGAGTGGGAGAAGCCAGCAGTCTTTGCTTAGCCTCTAGCCCAGGGATGGGACACACAGAACAGGACCAAGAGCCCTGAAATGCTCCTCCAACATCATGCTGAGGCTGCATGTTCTGCCCAGTTCTGACAGGCCAGGGGAAAGTACAGCCTGTCAGGTTTTCACAAGGGAAAGGCCCAGCAAAGTCTTCTTTCACAACATCCCCCTGAAAGGCCATGGCTGCACAAGGGAACACATCAAGGCCTCTGCTTTTGCAGATGCTGTAGCCAGGCCCTGGCTGTTGCCTCCAGTGAGGAGGCAGACCCCTGCCTGTGAGAGGCTGATAAGGATAAGAGGAAGAGTCAGCCTGGCCATCCAGGAAGCCATCTCCTTCCCAGTTCAGCTGTGAAACTTGTTGCACACAGCCATCAGGAAGACAGACTTTGAGAGGGTGACAGACCAGGTGGATCGCCCCAGGGCCCTTCCATAGCCAGCCTGACCAGGAAGCATGAGCACTACTGAACCCAAAAGCCACCCCAGCAGACCTCAATCTAGACTGTTGCTTTTTGTTTCAGGATGTTCTGTTTCACAGGGAGGCAGGGGCTGGATGCAATCTCTCAACCTCCCTACTGGGAGCCATTTGGTTTCTGGACTCCTCCAGGGGTCCACACAAAGGCTCATGGAAAGCGAAACTCTCCTGCAGAGTGGGCCCTGGGCCCAGCTGTCTTTCAAGCAGTCAGAGGAAAAGTTTGGTTCCTACCCAGGACAAGATCCCTGAGAAAGCAGAGCTTTCCCTAGCTACCTTCTGCTGGGTTGTGCTTTCCACTGGAATTTGCTGCCTGGAGAGATGCTTATTTATTTTCTGAAAGTCATCAGGCTTAGTTCCGGGATGACAGTGGCTAATCTGTGCTTTTTTAAGAATGATAAAAGACCTGAGCTTCAGACTTAATTCTTGACTTTTATCTTCAGCACAACTGTATTTTGTCTCTTTTCCCTCATACACACATTGAGGCTCTGTGGGATTTACACTTCCCTGGTAAGGACAGGAATGGTTCTCGTGTCTGGGCAGCAGTCTCATGCCAAGTAGTGCTCTGTACCTTGCCTCCCCAAAAACCCGTTCAGGTGCTCTTGCTAGCATCTTCCTAACTTTCTGGCACTGTCACAGTACTCTATCAAACAGTTTTTGTGCTTCACCCCAGCAGCAGCTACACATCCAAGGATATTTCCAATCCTAATGTCTGTGAATCAAGTTTGTTCTTTGAGCAGACAAGCCAAATCCCTGCCAAATCTTTCCCTCTCATGTGTGACCTTACAAGAGACACTAGCAAGTCCTTCCACAGCTTGCTACAAAACTGGCTGAAGAGCTGCTTCTAGAAGCCCCCTGCTTCTTTCTCTCTCATCCCCAAGTCTATGGGCCTGGAGGGAAAAAAAACCCCACCCAACAGACTGGGGGGTTGCAGATGCCCAGAAACAGACAGAGGAATGTGCTTACCCCACACCAGTGTCTGGATCTTTGCAGAGGGTATCAGCATCAAGGAGAACAGAGCCCCGAGGTGCAGCAGGCTCATGAGGATGATGTTCCTCCAGACGTATCGCAGTGGGGGCTTGGGGCCCTCTTTCTCCCGGTAGGTCTCATCAAAGATATCGTCTACCATGCCCCGGTCTGCTGCCAAGTCCTCATGGTTGAGTAAGTCCTTCTCCGTGACGGCGTTTCCATTACTGGTCACCCGGGAGGTGACTGTGCCACCAGCAGTGGTGCTGGAGGTGGAGGAGAACTCCTTGAAGAGGTAGCAGTGGATATTTTCAAGAAAGGAAAGAAGGGAAAACAAAATAAGAAGTTGGTGGTTATCAATTCAAGAAATAGAAACACATGCATCTAGGCAGGCAGTGTAAAGATTCACAGCCTGTAGTTTCCCTGGAAGGCTCCATTCTTTCAGCTGAGCCCTTGGCACAAAGATCCTGCTCTGGCCACATGGAGTCATGGCCTGAGAGACCAGGGACCTGCACTTTCTGGAGAGGAGGTGAATGGTAGGTAGGGTGCCAAAAGGAAAAAAAATACTTGAAAGCCAGTCTCTTTTCCACCAGTGCCTTTGGTGAGATCATTTGCAGACTGCAAGGATTTTTATTTTCATTCAGTTTGATTAGTGGATGGTTTTAGGTGGGTCTGGGCTTGTGCATAAATGGACAACAAAAAGGAAATCTTGTGAATGAATAAAGAGGTGGAAGAGAAATATGGTCTCAAACACAGTTTTATAATAAATTAATGGGCTGCTCCTGAAATCCTACTTATTTGTCACCCCACCTGGGATCACAGGGGAACATCAGGAAGATCCACAGGGGGATTCCTCTGCCTCCTTATCTTGCTCGCCTCACCTTCCAAGATGGGATGTAGCAAGACCAACATGCTTGAAGATCAGTGGACGGAAGCAGTCAGGTGAGGTACTTCTAGTTAGAACTGCAGCTACTTATCCTGTGCCTGCTGCTAAGACTCTTATCCCTCTCTCATTTCCCACCCACAGGCAAACTGAGGCAAGGGAAGACAATCCTCTGATCTATGGCCACCAGCATGTAGAGAGGAAGTTTTAAGCAGCAAAGTTGGCTCAGCTTAGCTCCTGGCTCCCTTCTGTAACTGTGACACAACATTCCCTCAGAACATGCTTGTTTGCCCTGGCTGAGTGACAGCCTGCCCCATCAGGCATGCATGACAAAAGGAGCAGGCAGGATTGACCCTAATGAGACAGGTCAGTGAACCCTGAATCACCGATTTCCATCTCCATCCAGACAGCCCGTGCTTGCTGGTACTGTGCCTGCTGGTACTCCCAGCCCTTTGTCAGCCCCAAGTGCCCAACGTGGCCCCGCCCCGGGGTGCCAAGCACGTGGGATGCAAGGGTGTGTCCCACACACATCACCCCATCCCCTGCCCCTTGGGACACATCCCTCTGCCACCCAGACTGCTGCCTCCATGGGTGAAGGGGCACTAAAGGTCAGCCAGCAGGAACAGGAGGGCTGGGACTGCAGGACGGAGCATGGTCAAGCTGGGAAAGCTCCTTCCCCTATAGAAATCTCTGCTGAATTAGCAGCAGATTCCCACTCAGGTGTTCAGGATTCATAAAAGACCACCATCCTGCCATGGCCTAGTTTCCTGAGGGAGGCATTAAAATCAGGCCAGGCAGCTGACGTGGCCACCCCAACTCCTCCCTTTCCCAAGGGTTGAAACTGGAGGGTTACAGACATACCTTCCGATGGGGAGGAGCTGTCAAGGCTGACAGATTCCCCACATTTGGGAAGTAAAATGATCTCTACAGAGGAGCGCTTTCAGTTTTTCCTCAGGGAATCAAAGGTTTGAAAGGAAAAAAACTGGACACAAAGTATCCTGCTGCCTTCACTGCACACAGGCAAGCTGCTGAGCTTGGGACTGGCTCTTCTGCATCCCGGCTATCTCTGCCTGGTTTCCTAGTTAACATTTTAAGGGTAGGATACTCTCATCTGCTAGAGAATTTAGAGGTAATCCCCACACCAAAAGAATCATGAGAAATGGCTTCTAATCCAGAGATTAGGCAAGGAGAAGTCCTGCCTGTTCCCAAGTGTTAGATATTCTCATCTAGCATTTTGGCAGAAAGGTACAATTTTCTTTCTTGGCTGCAAGACAATCTACCAAAAAGACCCAAGACTTGTCTATGCAGGAAAAATTCCCAGCAGTGATTGGTGGTATAATTAGACAGGTAACACACCCCATATGGACATGCTGCTTCCAGAGTAAGAATGTGGGGTTGGAGTTGCATTTTTCTCCTCCATGATAGCTTATGTCACTGTCAAAGTTACACAGGGGCAGAGGAGGAGGAGGGAAAGCGCAAAGAAAACAGCAGAGAGGAAAAAAATCTCTTCTGGAGTTGTAGTAGCCACATGAGGAATTTGACCAGCATACCTATGCTGCTGGAATTACACTGATATAATCAGGCTGGTCAATTCTCACATGTAAACTAACCTTGAACAAAAGGGCTATAAAGCAGCTGTGAAACAGCTCCACCGTTACAAACTTGGTGGGAGGAGCATGGGGGGATGAGGGAGGGAGAGAGGTAGAAACGGGGGAAACGAGGAAAGAAAGAGGATTTTTGTCCCGTTATGACCATAGTGGCTCCTACCGAGGAAAATGAGATGGACATTGATCTGGAGTTTAGGGCTGAGAGAGGGAGGAGGCCAGCTAAATAATTTTCATTAGCTTTCCCTCATTTCCGAATGGCTTTGCTGCTCTCATCTGCAGAACAGATGTGTTTCCCCATCTACACCCCCACCTCCCCAGCACTGAACATGCCATAGGTGATCCTGGCACCCAGCCAGCTTATACAACCAGCTGCAGCTCAAAGGCTCCTGCAGCGGGCACGGTGTATGAGCCCCAGGGCACTGAATCTCGGGTCCAGCATATTTGAATGTGCCCAGCGTGACCCAGGGACAGGATTCTTTCCAGCTTCCAGGATATGACCCAAAATACATGCCAAAACCATGAAACATGGTTTGAACACACCGCCTTTGACATCCATTTTGGGAGGGGGGAAAAGTAAAGTTCTTTACATCACAGCATGCCTGGAAGGTCATGGCACCTGCACAAAAGCACCAAGGGAGACCCTGGGTGCTGCTGACAGGAAAAGAGCAGGGGTATGATTTACATCCACTTCTAGGCATTGGCAGAGGGGAGAAGGATGAGAAGGTGGGAGCACAAACACCAGAATCAAGTGTCTGCCTCCTCCCCTTGGGCAAAGGGTGGCTGCCGTAAGGGTCAAAAATAAAAATGAAAATCTTTAAAAATCCAACACTCCACGTGTCTTACTGGTGTCAGGTTATTATTCAGACCTTCTTGTGCCAAAAATGGGCAGTCTCCCTATTGTATGCTTGCTTGGCTCAAGCAATGCAGTCACAGTCATTCATTTCATCTGGGCAGCCGGCTTTCACCTTGCGTCTGTCCTAGAGACGCTTCCTGCTGCAGTATTTGGTTTTAAAACACTGCGAGTAAAACCCCTTTCTAATCACAAATAAAATTAATTAAGAAATTTTTTTAAATCCCAGTCTGAGTATTATAAAAAAATTTATGACTTCTTGGCACAAAAGATCTTCTTGAATAGCCCTTCATGCTACTCAAGCACCCAGTATGTTTCGATGGGTGTTTTCAAAATAACCCTGTATTTTATGCTCAGTCTACCTGAGGGCACAGGATCCAGGAAGATCACCTCAAAGGTGGATGTCTCCGCTTCATCCGCGGGCTCCCCACCAGGCTTGGGCGATGTTTTAAGTTCCCACGGAACCCCTTCGCCTCCCCGGCTGCAAAGCGGTGCGGAGAGGACCGGGCACGCACGTGTGAATACGTGTGTGTGTGCACGCACAGACACGCGTGGATGCCCACTCCTTCTTCCCCAGCACAGCAGCAGCGCAGCAGCGCAGTCGGAGCCGCGGAGATGAAGGAGGAAGGGGCTAGGGGAAGACAAAGCACCCGCACCCCGGGGCCCCGCTCACCTCCTCTTGCAGCAAGTGCGCAGGCATGGGGCGGCCTGTCTGTGCTCCTCGGCGCGGTACGCGGGCGCGCAGCTCCCCGGCGCTGGCGAGAGGCTGGCTCCGGTCGGCTCCTCGCTCGGCGAGCTCTGCGGCTGGCGGAGGCGGGTGCGGAGCTATTTAAGGGGGGCTGCTTGCTCGGCTGCTGGCGGGGCTGGACTCTGCGCGCCCCGGCCTCCCGGTGACCCCCTGCCCGCGGCTGGGATGCGCGGGGTCAGCGCGGAGGGCGGCGAATCGCGGCGGGGGCCCGGCTCTCGACGTAGCCGGGGGGAGAGGCGGGGCGGAGCGGGCAGGGGGGCGGGAGGGAGGAAGGATGCTGAGGAAGAGGAGGATGACGAGGGCCAGGCTCTCTCATGATGCCTGGCTGCTTTTTTCTTTTTTTTTTTTTCCTTCCTTTTTTTTTTTTCCTCCCCTCCCTCCCCCTTGCGAGCTGATTGGTTGCGGGAAATTTGGTGCCACCTCGGCTTGCCGTCGCCATTGGCTGCCCGCAATCTGCTGTTCGCTCCCCGCGGCGCGCACCCTGCGCGCCCTGCTCCGCGCACGGTCCCGCGCCCCGCTCCGCGCCCGCCGGGGCTGCTGCGGTGCCTCGGGAGCCCCTTCCGCCGCCGCGAGGGCCGCCCCTCATGGAATAAGGGGCTCCCGAGGGGCGAGGGATGTTGGGAGCCCCGTTCCCCTTCCCCAGGTGGATATGGGCTGCGGCGGGGGAACAAGGGGATTCAGCATGGAACATTTGCTCTGTACTGGGGATCTGTCTGGGGCGCAATCTGCACGTGTGTGCGCGTATGGAAATCACACATTCCTGCAGCGAAAAGCACCCACAACGTACGTCCCGATAAGCACGTATGTCTGTGTAGATGTCCATCACGATATGCGCAAATAGTTTGGGAACTGTTGGCTGTAACATTTGAAAAAGAATCCTGTCTGTTGTCCCCAGAAAACAGTGCCTTCAGCAGAGGATGGAAGGAAAAAGTAGTAGCTCAGTTTGCCGTCAGCTGTTTTCCTTAACAACCTTCCTGCTAGCCAGTAGTGCCAGCAATATCCAGCCTTTATCCAAAACCCAAGATCTATCCGAAATTCAAACTCTATCCCACAGAGAACTTCACTATTAAAAGTGAAAACCAGGGCTCTTACAAATCAAACCCTTTCGGTGGCAGAGCCGGAGGCAGCTCTCCTAACTCCACCGTGTGGTCACCGTGCCAGACACCTCAGTGATTTAGCACCAAGGCTTAGGGTACCCTACAGCCATCACCCTGGCCAGGACCTCGTGCAGCTCCTTCCCCTACTCAATAGTGTGTCCCGTGTTCAGTTTCTGTCCCCTGCTGACACATGAGTCATTTTGGGAGTGGAGCAGGGACATGAAAAGCCAAAAGTGTGCCCATATCCTCTGACATACATCCCGTCTGGAGCTCTCCTGCAGTGATGGAGCTGACCACACGAGGTGCAGATAGACAACCAAGATCTTGCAGAGTCCATCCCTGGGCTGATCCTGCTCAGACATATCGAGACTTATTCAGTGGCAGCTGTGAAAAGTGAGTTGCATTGTAATCACTGGAAGGGAAAAGTGACAACGAAAAACAGTAGCCCATTTGTTCTCCAGATACAGAGGTGTCCAGCAAAGGCGAAAATATGTCCCTGCTTTTTCATTACATAATCATGGACAAAAGGTATGTGAGGAGTATGTGTTTAAACTTGATATTAGGATCTTGAGTCATGCCTACCTTTTGAGACACAATATCTAAACTGAGAGCCCAAATCAGATGTTCCTGGATGGTGAAAGCAGACATGAGTCAGGGAGAGACTTTCAACCGTCTCTTTTAAGACTCTCCATTAAATGTTTGGTTAACAACACTGAGGAGAAATTACGTTTGAACTAAAGATTCTACCTATTTTCTATATGAGTGCTTGAAAGAACTACAAACTGAGCTAAAAACTACCCCAAGGAAACCTGACTCCTGCTATTTCCAAAAGAAAACAAGAAAATAAATAAATTTTTAAAAAATAAGGTGGTACTTGATGATTTTAAAAAGGTACTCTCCAGCTCATAACACATGGGGAAAATAATCTCAATGTCATGAACCAGGGACAGACCTGGAATTGCTACTGATGGGTGACAGTGAGGCTTTGGGGAATTCAAGGTTTGCAGTTTTGCAGATACTCAGACCCACCAGAGCCCTTTCCTTTTCCACAGGTTTCTTTCCTCAGACATGGAGTACAACTATGAGGCATTATACAGGGCAGCTAGACTTTTACCCTCTAAAACTGAGAATACATTTGGCTGCTCCCTCACAACATGAATAAGTTTTCTGCATATTCCCCTGCTCAGTTAGCTTGGGGGGTGGCCATCCCAATTTTATTTTTTTTTTGCATAGAGGGAAAGATGGATCTTTACCATCGTTGAGGCTGTGCTGACCTGGCAGGTTTCAAGTGTTCTGTGCCAAGGACAGTCCTGAGAAATGGCCTGCACAGCTTGGCCAACTTCTCCAGCTGCCATTTTCATCACCTTTGCAACAGGTTAATGCTCCTGAATGTGGCCACGAGGTTCAGGCATTGACACCTTGGTGAGGAAGTGGAGAGTCTGCAGTGTGGTTTGCTTTTCCAGTGCTTGGACTGCTGCAGATCTGGCCTTGCTGTTGAAAAGCATTTTGGCCCTATGTGGGCTAGAGGCTTGGCCATGCTGTGCCAGCCAGGCTCCCTCCTGTGGAGAGCTGCTGGCCATGCCAGTGGCCTGCGCCCTGCATACCCCTGGCCCACCATCCAGCCCTGCCCATCTGAGCCCCAGCTCTGCTGCTCAAAGGCTTGAGACAAAAGGGGATCACTGGGCAGCCCAGGTGGGAAAACAGACATGTTTATATAAACACAGCAATACAGCTTAAATCAGGGTTTTCCACTCTAGTTTGTATCTCTCCAGACAGGTTTTTCCCTCGTTCCAGGGAGAACTTCCCAGCTGAGCCTTCAGCAGAATTACATTGCTCGTGGTGTACACCAAACTGCTTCACGAAGATTTGGCTTCAGCCGTCGTCCTCAGGAAACTGATTCAATTTTTCTGTATCTGGTGACTGCTGCCCAGGGTCACAGTCTTTCATAAAAGAGCTGATGCAATGCCAGGGCCATGGTGCATGGCAGCAACGAGCAGAGCCGTGCCATGGGCAGCACAGGCCATGAACTTCAGCACCGGATTTCTTTAGAAATACATGGTCTAATGCAAGGCTCTTTCCACCTTCCTAAGACCTCCCCACAGATTCAGGACTCAGCTGAAGCACTGGTGCTCAGCTTTCACACTAGTGAAAAATTCTTGCAGAATTCTTTTTGTCAGAGGGTCTCACAGCTTTTCATTAAGACTGGGGACAATGAGGCACAAACCAGCAGGGAGGTTTACCACAAGACAGTATCAGTGAGCAGACCCTTTAAGAGAAAGAACTGTCACATTCCAGTCCTGGGATGCACTAACCACCCTGGTTTTGCTACCACAGTGCCAGAATGCAGATAAAAACTTCAAAACTAAGCTAAAGTTCTTTTACCATAACACATTCCTTCCTAGTCTCCCCTTTAAAAAGGTAAATAAATAAAAAAAGCTTTTCCATTTAGCAGTAAGTTTTGCAAGAGGATTTCATCTATTTCATCTGATGTTGACATCTTGGAAATTTTATTGGATCTCCTCAGTTACCCCCTAAAACTGTTGAAAAAGCCATGTACTCAAAAATGCTTGCTGCAAGGGCTTTGCAAGGTTTGTTCAATGTTGTTTATTTATCTTCTTTAACAACATTCCCTGTCTCCCACTTTGTCTTCCATTTCACAGCTGGAAGTTGAAACAAGAAGAGGGGACTCAAGTAATGAGGGAATAAGCTGAAAACTGGGGAAAGAAATGAACCCTATGCCAAAAATAAAGGCTTGCAAAAATTGATTTTCTGAAGAAGCATGAAGCAATTCCAGCTTTAGAGTTTTTCTGGAGATAGGAGAATCATGCTGTGGGTGTGGGTGCTGTGGGTGCTCCATTCAAAGGGCACTGCTGGGGTGGCTTTCCATCCTTTCACCAATGCTTTCTCTCCTCCTTACCCTCATAAAGAATCTGCTCTTCAAAGGTGTTGAGCCCAGTCTGCAGATCAGCTGAACACTGCCATCATTCACCACTGCTGCCAGCAGTCTCTCAGGTTAATGGTGCCTCTGGTTTTGGCAAGCTGACTTTTTGGCACAGTTATGTGTTGCAGAGAAATAGGGTAGGGGACCATGGCTTCAGAATGAGTTGGGACAGGACCTGGCTCAGTCTACAAGAGTTCAGAGTTAATGCCTGCTTGAAGGATGATGGCAGCTGCAGGTCTTTGGGGTTTGTGTGTTTCAGGTGTTCAGGTGCCAGGGATCAGATGCCAGCTCATGGGATCACCACCCTTGTTTGATGTTGTTTTCTCCCCATGCTTTCTTTTGGAAGGTGATGATTCTTTGTTATATTTTCACACACTCTTCCTTGTCCAGGAGAGGTAGCAAATGGCTTTCATAGTTGAAATGGAAAGCTAGGAATTGTTTAGTCACCTGGCTCCAGACACAGTGACTTGAGGAGCCTGGTATCATGGCATTTACCAAAAGTGCTGTTCATGTTTACAAGAACTGGCAGCATCCTGGTCACTTGCTTGCTTTCTATCATGTTCTCCCCACTATGCACACACCTTAAAACATCAACTATTGCTCTATAAATTTCCACAAATTCCTGAAGATCCCCTGCTCCATCGTCACTCTTCAAGCATGGCTAAGCTCAGTGTGGGTTACCTGGGCTCCTCAGGTGGGAGCACCCAGAAGAGTATCAATGGCCAAACCCCCAGCTGCCTTTGGAAAGGCAAGGGCTGGAAGAAGTAGTTGATGCTTACCTGGCCACCCTGCTGATGCTGAGTGGGAAACGTGGGGTTAAAGGGAGTCAATAAAGTAGCTGAAATCAGTCCTGTCTCATTGCCAAGGTTAGAAGGGAATGCAAATGTAACTGGGGTGATGGCCATGGCTTCAGGCTATGGCCAGGATGGCTAAATTCCCTGTCATTGATGAGAGAATAAGCTGTCAAGATAATCTTATCAGCATCAAGAATTAGGCTGATAACTGCTGATGACTGGGATAGGGTGCCTATCTCTGCACTTTGCTCCATCCCTTGCAGTCTGACTCGATGCCACACACCCTGCCCACCCTCCTCCCCTCCTGTTACCCCAAACAGGCTTTGCTCCCAGTCCTCGGGCTGCCAGCAGCAAGAACCCAGCCGGTATTGTCTAAACAGGGCCATACAATGGGCAGCATTGTTGATACTG